CCGCCCCCGGAGGAGGAGTCCCCTTGATGTCCCGCCTCGCCGGCGCGCGGGGACCCGCCCCAGCGACAGGTCCCCCACGGCGATGGCGCGGGAAGCCCGCCGGGACAGAGAGGAGGAATGGGTGCCTCGTCTGGGGAGGAGGGAGGGCCACCGGCGGAGCAGGGCAGCGCCATCGCCCGGTCTGTGTCTCTCAGGAATCCACAGACGGCCCAGCCCTGCCAAGCTTACCCCAGTGCCCGCGGCGGGCCTGCTGTCTCCTTTCTAGTCTGGCTGAAGAAAACCTGCTGAGCTTGGGAGCAGGCAGGAGCCAGGCCTCTGCCCGCATGCTCCCGCGGCTCATTCTAGAACAGAGAGGCCCACCTCTCACAGAGGGGGTGCATGGAGGAGGGCTGAGAAAGAAAGTCTGCACAGAGGTCACCGTGTCACCCAAGCCAGTCCTCCACCCCGACCCACACCTACCCAGCCACACCCTTCCTACCCCCACCCCCAGGCCTTAAAGGGCAAAGACGGGAAGGGACCCAAGCTTGCTTCTCTCTTTTATTGAAATATATTTTCTGGGCAGTGCCTACCTACCTAAGTCAGCATAGCCTCTTTGGCACTGAAAGCTGGAGAATAAAAAACCAGTAAAAAAAAATCAGCCTGGACTTTTGTGAGTGCATAGTGCATGAGAACTAAAGGCCTTTGGTACACAAGAACTGTGGGGACAGTGGGTGGAGGGTGGGGGCTAGGGGTGGCAAAAGCTTGACCCAGGGGCCTCAGGGAACTGGGCACAGGCTGCTATAGATGAAGTGGCCAATGACCAAGGCCAGCATCTCTGAGGTGCCACTCAGTGCCACGATGAAGGGGGCCTGGGAGGCATAGTTGGCTTGAAGGCGGCGGAGGGACAGCTGCAGCATGGCCAAGGCCAGCAGGCTGTTCTGCACCCCTACCTCAATGCTGACTGTCCGCCGCTGGGCCACTGGCAGCTTCAGGCATGTGGCCAGGCCGTAGCCCACCAGGAGGCCAACCAGGGGCACTGTGAGGCCCACCAGCACGATGGGCAGCCTGACGCCTGCCAGGATGAAGACCCCCATGCGGTAGGCCAGGAAGAGGCCACCCAGGAGCAGCACAAAGCTGAAGGGCTTGATAACCTGCAGCAGCAGCTGGGAGAACTTGGGGAGCTTGGACTTGATCACTACGCCTGCTGCTATGGGGATGGCGATGAACAGCAGGGTCCCCAGGATCTTGGAGATGGGCACGTGGAGTGTTTCATGGATGCTGAGCAGGTGGCTGTAGATGGCTGAGGACAGTGGCAGGAAACCAGTGGCAGCCACGGTTGAGATGAAAGTCATGGAGATGGCCAGAGTGACATCCCCTCCAAGGAGGAGGCTGAAGAGGTAGCTCCCCCCGCCGCCAGGCGACGAGCAGGTGATGATGAGGCCCAAAGCCAGGGCCTTGGGCAGCATGAAGACCTTGGCCATCAGGAAAGCATAGAAGGGCATGACCAGAAACTGACCCAGGAGGCCCAACAGCATGGGCTGGGGGCTCTGCAGGAGCCCCTTCAGAACCTTGAGCTCCACTTTGCACCCGAACGAACACTTGTTGACAAAGATAAGAGGCAGGAGCAAGTAGAGTATTGGGTTCTCTGAGAAGTGGACCAGGTCGGCGCCAAGGGTGGCAGGGGTGTCTTCGGCAGCAGGCGAGACCTTGATGCAGAAATCTCTCCGATCCTCAATCAGCATAGGTGGGGCCTTGTGGGGATCCACGAGCTGGATGTGGAGTGGGGCTAGCCCAGGCAGGCCTGAGTGGATGCTCACCACAAAGCCGCCCCCCCGACCCCAGGTTATGGCACTCACATTCTTGATGGTCAGCACCTCTGTGTCCAGGGAGGTGACTCTTAGCGTGGGGCCTGGCACCGTCCTGTTGCCCTGGCCTGGGTACTGGCTCGAGATCACAATGATGCCCTCGCTCTCCTCTGGGAACTCAAACTCCATCACAGAGCCATCCCCAATGCTCAAGTAGCGGCCCTCTGTCAGTGGCACAGTATGGCCCAGAGCCGTGCTGAGGTTGGCACTGGCTGTTCCCCAGGCCCCCCATGGCAGGCTGAAAAGCAGCAGTGCAGTCCTGAGCATGACTAGGTGGCCTGTGCAACCACTGCCCCCTCCCAGGCCAGGCCACTGCTGGGAGCTGCCCCTGCCCCTCCTAAACACCATGGCTCTTCCTGAAGGCTGGCGAGCCCAGACCCTCTGTGGCTTAGGAGAGCAGTCCTGCTGGTACCGTTGGGTTGTCCTGAGAAGGGTCCATAGGCGGGCCCTGGCCCTGTGCTGCCTTCCTTGATGGCAGAGCTCTTCCTGAGGAGGGAAGGGACACAGAGAGGGGGCTGGTGAGGGCGAGCAGCTGTGAGCCCAGGAGCCTGGGGATCTGGAAGCCTATTGCTAGGAGACTCAGTGGGGCCCCTTGCCCCAAGCCCGGGAACAGAAAGGCAATGCCTAGTGCTGGCCCTTGAGTGCCATTCGGCTGTCCTCTCACCCAGCACAACTGCCTCAAGCTTCCTATCCCTCACCCAGAGGACACACTCACAGATAGCAGTTCCCGTTCAGGCTGCTGCTACCCGCTCATTTCCCTGGACTTGCCCAGCATGGTGACCATGCAGAGACATCCTGATACCAAGGGATTCGGGAGAGCCACCCCCAATCCTGTCACCACTAGCCTGTTCCCCACCAGCTTCGAGACGCAGCTATAGCAGGGCCGCAGCAATCCCACAACCACGATGAAATCTCTGAAAGGCTGCCCAGGGATGACAAGGAGACAAGCTTGATGAGAGCAAAGGGTGCTGATACAAACACTGGCTTGCTGGGGCTGACCCGGTGGCGCAAGCTGTTAAGTATGTGCGCTCCGCTGCGGCAGCCTGGGGTTCGCCGGTTCGGATCCCAGGTGCGCACAGACGCACTGCTTGGCATGCTGTGGCAGCGTCCCATATAAAGTGGAGGACAATGGGCACAGATGTCAGCCCAGGGCCAGTCTTCCTCAGCAAAAAAAGAGGATTGGCAGATGTTAGCACAGGGCTGATCTTCCTCACAAAAAAAAAAAAAAAAGAAACACTGGCTTGGGCCAGATCTGAGAGACCATCAGAGTGCAGGTTAGGGCACTTGAGTATCATCTGCCAGGAAGAAAGCAGCTGGCAAAGTGGCGTGGGCAGTGGGTGACCATCCGGCCGAAGGCCCCAGGGGCTGATGTCCACCACCAACGTGCAGTTGTGAATGGTGCCACCATGGTTCCCTGGCCTCCCCTACCTGCTGACAGTGGGGAGATGGGGTTTCTTCTCTGGAGAGCAGGTCCCCTCTCCCCAGAGAAGTCACCAGAAGGGGCAGCAGGAGGGGGTCTGATAGGACCACATGTCTGCTGGGGGGCTTCTTCTCCTTCTGTCAGAACTTCCACTCCTCTGGCAGTCCCAGAATTTGAGCTCCCAGAGCCACTGTGTCACACCTGAGAGGCTCTGCTCGGAGTCCAGGGGCTCCTCCCCATGCCCACACGCACCCTACCAGAGCCTGGAATGCCCAGGGGGACTATGAGTGTTTCTCATGGGCGGGGTGCCTCAGGGTGAAAGGAGGAGGTTTGGGCAGCCACCATCCAATTGCCACATCACCTGCTGGGACTGGGGCAACCAGGATGGGGACACTGGTTTTTCATCACTACTGTTGGTTGCCTCACGCCCTGCAGTGTCCCAGTCCTGGAAGAGGCCCCTGCCTCTGTAGATCCTGACAGTCTTTGTCCCTGCCCCCACTCAGCCATCTGAGACTGGGGAGCGCGGGAGGTAGGAGGTGGAGGGCAGGTTAAGCAAAAGGCTCATCCTTGGGAATGTCTCCCCCCAGCCTCCTGGGATGCCATGGTCTTGGCTGGTTTGGAGTTTGGGTCACTTACCCTGGAGGCCTTGGTCCAGCCTTGTGTCCCACCGCTGAAGAGGAAGGCAGGCAAACCAGAGGGAGTATGAGAAGCAAAGTGAAGGGGAGTCACAGAGAAAAGATGAAGGCACCTGGGACTGAAGCCACCGCGGTGGTGTGAACCAGTTCAGAAGGGAGAGGAGGCTAAGGGTCATCCACCCTGTCCTTCCAGTTCAGCTGGCAGCTTTGAGTCACTGCAAGAGGGGTCTGGCCCAGATCCCACACCATTTCTGCTTGAGGGGCCAGAAGAGTTTGAGCAGATGCACCCCAAGGCAGGGGAGGGAACCCCAGGCTGGTTGCTTTTTCCACACTGGCTGAGTGTTCGGTGTTAGGGCAGTTGGCAGTGCTGACTCGGGGCTCCTCCCTACCTGGGAGTCCGGAAGTTGTCGGACTGGGCACGAGCAGAGCTCGGGCGCGAACCGGGGACGGAGGGAAGGAGGAGGGCGCCGCCGCCGGACTCAGGCTGCTGCCCCGTAGCCGGGAGGCCAGCGACCCGCCCTGGCGGTCTTGGGTCGCGGAAGGCGCCCTCACGCCACTCCCAGGCTCCGTGGCCCCGCCAGGCCTCACGTTCTCGCGGCGGCGGTCCTTCCCTGCCGGGCCCGGCCGCCCGAGCGGGCGAGCGCGGAGCCGGGCCGGGACCAGAGGCTGCCTTCCGCCCGCTCTTTCCGGCCCGAGGCTCTCACCTGCTGCCACGGCCCCGGAGCTCGGAGCCAGCGGGCCTGCCGGGCCGGCGGACGCCTGCGAGCTCGGCTGGCCAGGGCCCCGCCCAGCCTCGCCCCCGCCCGCGACCAGCCGAGGCCCCGCCCCGCGCACCCGCCCCGCTTCCCCCACGGCGGCCGGCTCACCTCTGGCGGCCGGGGCCGGTTCCGACCGGATGTGACGTATCTGGGAGCAACGAGCCGGCGCGGGCGCGCTGGCTGGGCCGCCTTCCGGGTCGCGGTTGGTCGGCGCTGGGTACGGCTTTGTGCGGCCGTTCAGACGCCTGTCCGACTCTTTTGTGGTTGCCGCCGGGGCGACGCGCTCCGATTAGGGGCCACACTCATTCCCAAATACACTGCGACCTCTGGGGGCAGTGAGACACACAGGCTTAGCCGTTAGCAGAGCTGGGACGCCCAGGGGCTGCTGCTAGTGGCGGGATCCCAGGATCAGGATCTGTCTATATTTAAGACATAGCCACTTTTGAGTTTTCTACGGTTGCGCATCATAAAATCTGTGCCATCCTGACTTGAAGGTCATCTGGGCCCCCAAATCCCAAGTCCCAATTAGCCAGGGCCTCTGTTTTGTTTTTCCAGAGTTCATACAGGTAGACTGCAGAGACCCAAAGCCCTTCTTCATCTCTTTCAGGGCCAAGGATATGGAGGGTTCCAAGTCACAGATAGACATTCCAGTTTGTTTTATTTAGAAATCATTCTCAGGCAGAGCTGCAGGGACAGGCCTCTGTGAAGCAAGCATCTGTCACATGTAGAAACAGGCCTTGAAGTCCTGGGGCTCTCCAGGCAGATGGGCTATGCATTGACTTAAGGGTGACATGCCAGTGAGCTTGGCGGGTGTGTCAGACAGACTAGGACAGTTACCCTGGAGCTCCCAAGTCACCATGCTGTTCCCACTCAACCAGTGGCTGCTTCACAAGGATTGTTAGGGCAGTTGCTTGTCCTGTGAAGTCTGTGCCACAAGGTGTGTCTGAACTGACTGCTCCAGCTAAGTGATTTCAAATATGTTGAGAATAAAGAGCCTCCTCAGAATGTACACCTGTGTGGAGACACAGGCAGCTCTTTTGGTCCCTTCCTCCCGGGGTGCAATGCTCAGTAACTCACAATTCATGCAGGGGTTTGCCTGGTTTCCAGGGGAGCGAGACCTCTGTCAGCTATCCGGCCAGGCCTCTGCTCTGCGTTCCCGCTCAGGGCGCCCAGCCCTATGGCTCGAGGGCTGAGTCCCAGCGACCCGGACTCCGGGGCCCAGGCTCGACCCAGTTCCACCTTCCTTTGTTCAAGCATTGACCGAGCACCTATTTCACACTGCGGAGCATCAGTGGACTTATCCACCTTTCAAAACTATTTGGCGCTACCAGCAAGGTCCAGAGGCTTCATGGAAAAGGAATGCAAACAGATGGTGTAAGGATGGGCAGAAAGGTGGTGAGGGTGTAGAAAGGACATGGGAAGACAGTAAGCAAGTGCATAGTGGAAGGGGATTTGCATGTTCCCAAAGGCTGCTGGGCAACTGCAGTCTGCCAGCGCGCTGGTCAGTGGCTACCCACTGCTCTGGAAGAACCTCTTGTCACGGCTGTGATGGAAGCCAGTGGTCCCCAGAGTTACAGGTACTTTGCCCCTGGAGATGCACACGACACATCATTGAGAATGTCCCAAATAACCCCATAGCATCTCTATTTTTAATTTTTCAAATAAATAATTTTAATAAAAAATCTATTATTTAAATGTAAACAAATACATTTTATTTAAAAAATTTGGTGTGTTTTATAAAGTTCAGATTAGTACGTGCATAGGATATCTAAGCAGATATACACATGGTGGGGGAGCATGCTTAAGAGGGCTTGATTTATGTCAGTGATCAAAAACATTCAGAGGTCAGAGCTGGCCACGTGGTGCGGTTAAGTGCGCACGCTCCGCTGCCGGCCGCCTGGGTTCGGGTCCCTGGGCGCACACCGACGCACTGCTTGTCAGGCCATGCTGTGGCGGCCATGGTGGTGTCCCATATAAAGTGGAGGAAGATGGGTATGGATGTTAGCCCAGGGCCAGTCTTCCTCAGCAAAAAGAGCAGGATTGGCATGGATGTTAGCTCAGGGCTGATCTTTATCACACACACAAAAAAACACATTCAGAGGTCATAGCTCTAGGCTGTTCATTAGCCTCAGAGGACCAGTAAGGCATAAGCCATTTGTGTGTGGACTTGGTGTCCCGGAACTATTGCACTGTCCCTCTCAAATAGGGTTGAAGGATCCTGATGGAAGCAGGCTGGCACAGGTGAGAGGGCTGGGCTTGGCACATGCTGCGTTGAAGACTGCAATTTGCAAAAGAAAAGAGCAGTGGGGGTGGGGCTGTCCGAGGACGGGGTAAAACTAGCCAGAGGGAGAAGGGGAATGGGTTGGCAGGAAGAGCTGGGGAAGGAAAACCTAAAAGAGGTGTCCTCCCTGGAGGAAGCCTGTGTTTTTATATTCCAACTGAACGGGAATGGGTGCTGGGAGTCAAGGAGAGCAGGTGTAGTGAGAGGCTGCTCCCCATTGTCGTCAGTCACTTCAGCCTTCCCTGAAAAGCGGGAGTGGGCTGGTGGGGTGTCTGACATGAGGGAATTTGGAGGCCTTCTCTGCAGGAAAAAGGGACAGCTTAATTAAAGGCAAGAGAATGTTTGTAGTTGGGTTAGGGGATTAATAATTTACCCCAGTGGCTTGGCGGTTAAGTGCACATGCTCTGCTGCTGGCGTCCTGGGTTTGGATCCCGGGCTCACACCGACGCACTGCTTGTCCCGCCATGCTGAGGCGGCGTCCCACACACAGCAACTAGAAGGATGTGCAACTGTGACATACAACTATCTACGGGGGCCTTGGGGAGAAAAAGGGATAAAAAGGAGGATCAGCATGGATGTTAGCTCAGGGCTGATCTTCCTCACACACACACAAAAAATAAAATAAATTACCCCAGAAGAGGAGGAAGGGCTCTACAAATCAGTCAAGGATATCTAGTTCCAAAAGAGAAGTCATCTGGGGGCCAGCCCTGTGGCTTAGCGGTTAAGTGCGCGCGCTCCGCTACTGGCGGCTGGGGTTCGATCCCGGGTGCTCACCGACTCACCGCTTGTCCGGCCGTGCTGAGGCCGCGTCCCACATACAGCAACTAGAGGGATGTGCAACTATGACATACAACTCTCTACTGGGGATTTGGGGAGAAAAGGGGGGAGGGGAAGGAGGAGGATCGGCAATATATGTTAGCTCAGGGCTGGTCTTCCTCAGCAAAAAAGAGGAGGATTGGCATGGATGTTAGCTCAGGGCTGATCTTCCTCACAAAAAAAACCCAAAACAAAACAAAAGAGAAGTCATCTGGACTGAGAGAACAGATAGAACAAACGATAGGGACAGCCAAAAAAGAAATGCACTTCCGATGGGAGACCTGCCACCATAGTAGGTAATAGGGTCACAATGGCGACCCTGAGCAGCGTGCCCACCTCCTGCTCTCCAGGCAGGGGCCCCCAGGAGTGCTTGGTGATAAAGCGGTACAAGTATGGGATACAGGTGGTATTTGCAGGGAAGTGTAATGACCACTGTTGTGTTTACCTGCCTGGCATCAGGTCACAGCATCTCAATTTTCTTTGAGGAACCATCCCTCCTCCACTCTTGGTACACAAGGTTTCCCAGTGCAGGACCCCAGCATTGGCCTCGGGTGGGCCCATCCCAGGTGTAGCCAAACAGAGCCACACAGATTGATGCAAGGATAAGCCCATCATCCAATCTGGACCAACGACAGTCCCCAGCGACTTGTACTGGAACTACTGGGAAGGTGGGAGCTTTTTTGCTGGAGTTGCTAAACTGGGACCTCTACTATAGCTTCCCATACCTGGGGGAGACAGTATGTTTGAAAACGAAGCAAATACTGAGAAAAGCGGAGCCAAGAGATGGAGCAAGTCCGTGCCTTGATGATCCCGATGACATTATTGGAGCTAGAACACCCATGGGGGTTGGGATCTGTTACAGGAACAATAAGTCTCCTTCCCCTGTCATTACTTATTTATTTTTGCTCACACCAGTTTGAGTTGGGATTCTGGCACTTGTAACCGAGGATATCCTAACTCCTAAAGGGCAGGCCTGAGGATACAGCTTTACCTCCACTTTGGAAAGTTGGGCAGGCTGTGCTCCACACCATCAGCTTCCTAGCCTGTGTTGGGCCAAGTGGGGGATAAAACTGGCCTGCTCTTTCCATTGGTGTGACTCTGCTGAGCCCCAGTGAGGGCACAGCCCCCTGGGGAGTTAGGGGCCATCACCGGGGCCCACTCCCGAGTTCCCGGCATGTAACACAGAGCCTGGCCCAGGGTAGACACCTGGTGAATGTCTGGGGAAGGTCGGGCAATCACAGCAGTGGCCCCAGTGCCTCCCAGCCTTGCAGTGTGGACCTTCCGTGAGCTTCCATGTTACCTGGGGCAAGCTACTAACCTTGCAGAGCCCTACTTATCTGGCTTCTAACATCCCGGCTCCAGTGAAACTCTCCTAAGCTCACCAGAGACCTTTATCTTCTCTGGAAATGGGGAAAATGGTAGTACTTTCTTGCTAGGGTTGCTGTGAGAACCGTGTACATAACACGTGTACAACTGAAGTACTGATGGAAGAACTAAGGTGAGATTTGCCTCAACATATTGGGCCAGAGGGGATGCAATGAAACAGTGGCCACATGTTGATCATAGTGGCAGTTTCGATGGGCACATTGGGGTTCATTATACTATTCTACTTTGGGGGCCGTTTGAAATTTTCCATAATAAAAGGTTTAAAAAATGAATATATGTATGATACTATAATGGTGGATACATGTCATTATACATTTGTCAAACTCAGACTGTACAACACCCAAAGGGAACCCTAATGTCAACTCTGGGTTTTGGGTGATGATGCTGTGTCAGTGGAGGTTGGGTATGTGGGAACTCTCTGGACTTCCTGCTCAACTTTGCTGTGAACCTAAAACTGCTCTAAAAAAGAAAGTCTATTAAAAAAATGAATACACGTAAAGCGCTTGGCACAGGGTCTATGATCACCATCTCCTGGGCTGACGCTTCCCCAACCCTTTGCGGTCCTGGCAGCACAACCACAGCCTCTCCTTCCCGTCTGTCCCTGGGCCTCTCACTCCTCTTTGGCCTGCTCCTTAAATACTTTCGTTTCTTGACGTTTTGTTCGCACTCTGGCAGCACTTAACTCCTAGAAGGCAGAGGCTCGGGAAGCCTTTCTCCAGAGCAGGACTTGTAAGTCCATCGCCCCCGCCACGGACCCCTCGAGGCTGCCTGGTTGGTGCCCCAATTCCTCCCATCTAGGAAGTCCAAACCGCCTTCTCTCCTTTTGCTAATCCCAGACCGCTCCTGTGCCCCTGGATGTGCTATTCCAGCAAAACTCCTCATAGTTTCCTGCTGGTTCTTGCTCAGTGGAGGGAAATGTAACTGTAATCTGTGAGAAATGCCAAACAGCGCACGTGACTTGGCCCTTTGTGGCCCTGATTTCCAAGGCATCCACTATCCCGCTGTGGGGAGACACACTAGCTCCTGAGGGAGGCTGGGCAGAGAGGGGAGGCACCTGGGCTAGTTTTAATCTCCATCCCTGTCCCTATAGGCCTGTGCTGTGTCCGAGGGAATCGAGTGAGTTTCCTGCAGCCTCAGAGGGTAAAACCATCTCCCCTGGGCAAGGCTATGGGGATGCTAGCTGGGGAGCTGCTCTGCTCACTGCCTGAGTCACACCTCAGCCAAAATGGGTCCTGTCGGTGGCAGGAGCCCTGGAGACAAAGGCTGTCTGCTAAGGCTGTGGGGGCAGGTCAGCTGAGCCTCCAGGACATGTCCCTCCCCCCCACGACACCACCACCCCTGACTCCCCACCGAATGCACTTCATTCCATTGAGGGCCACCAATTTATTAAGAGTTCATCTAGAAGGTGGGCCCTCTGACAAACTGCACGAGCCGCCACCTGCCGTGCTGGGGACTGTGATCAGGCTTGCTGTCTTACTGCCCGGCTGGCCTGGCTCCAAGGCAGCCCCTTCCTGCAGAGAGTGAGGCAGGAGGCAGCCAGTTCCCTGAAGTGCCCGCCAGGTGTGGCTCACCAGAAGGAATCACAATGGAAACAGGATTAGCCTGCAGAGCAGTGAGTGGCACTGGGATTGAGAGGATCTAGAAGATGCCCCAACTCACCAGGCAGCTGCTACCAGACTTGTGCGGTGACAGGGTGAGCACCCAGGGTCCTTGTGGACGGGGGCACTTGGGAATTGGGTAGGGGCTAGCCAGGGGGAGCAGCTTAGGAAAAGAAGGAGAAGGGTACCTGGGCTCCCCTGACAGATCGTGATGAGGCCGGCCCCTTCAGCCCCCACCACTGGTCACACTCCATTTACCAGTCACTGCCTTGGAGCCCCAATGTGCTGGGGCAAGAGAGCGCTCCTGGCTGGGTATGGGGTTGGGCCTCAGCCCTGCACTGCCGCCACTGCTGCTTCTGCCGCCACTGCCACCTCCTGGGCCGGGCACACGCAGCCTCCCTCAGCCTGGTGCTCTCGCTCGGCTGGCTAGCTGGCCATGGTCCTCCTGGGGATGCAGCCTTCCATCTCCAGCGCCTCGGGCCAGCCTTCATACTTATTGGTGTGCTTACTGTTCTTCACGTGCTGCAGGGTCGGGGGGGGGGGCAGGAAGTCACAGCCTCAGCCCTGAGGCACAGGGGACAGACAGAGCTTTCAGTCCCCCTGTGCTGGTGTCAACCAACTGTGCACTCTCTGTCCCAGTGCCTTGATTTTCTCATCTAAAAATGGCACTAGCTGCACTGGCCTGCCTCCCTCACAGGTGGAGTGGGAGGTCAACTTCTTTGCCCTTATGTGGGCCTGGCACACACAAGGAAGGTAATGAGGGAGTGCGTGTGTCTCCGCCCTCACCTGGCCTGCAGGGAGCTGCTGAAAGCTGCAGAAAGAGCAAGGCCAGAGGGGGCATTTCTTCTCTGGGGGCTGGGCTGCTCTTTTGGCAGCCAGAGCCTTCCAGAAACCACTGGAACAGCCTGTTTGCCTTGTCCTGCTGTGGGGAACAGGGCTTGGGGGCACTGTAGCTCTTCACGGGCTGGGAGCCTCCTAAAGATAAGGATGGCGCCTGACACGTGTGGCCCTGGAGGAGCAGGTGGCCAGAGGGCAACCAGGGCTGGTGGGAGAAGGGCATGCGGTGTGAACTGGGGTACTGGGCCTTGGGAAGATGGGACACGACTGAGCATCTTGAAGATGTTTGAGAGGAAGGTTGCTTAGTTGTGAGCCTTGCCAATGTGAAAGCTTTGCCATTTAAAGACTCTTTAGAGTGAAATCCATATAAGACAGACAAGGTCATATTACTTCCCCTCCCTGTACAGACGCTGAGGGGGCCAGGGCTGCCCCGGGGGCAGGTGCTGGGGCAGAATTCAGGGCAGGCTGTGGTGTGAACAGAAGGGGACCTGGCAGGATGCTGGCAGAAGGGGCAGGCAGACTGCCCTGGGCCAGGAAGCAGAGGTGCCATGCTCTCCACCCGTACCTGCTCAAAGGGGCTCTTGTTCTGCACGCCCTTGGCCCCCACAAACACCCAGCTGTCTCGGAAGGCAAGATCCTTGACGTTCTTGCTGCCCAGATCGCTGAAAAGCTTCCTGGTCTCTTCATTCATCCTGCCGCACAGAAGGAAGAGATGTGAGCGTCATTGTAGGAGGGCCAGGCTGAGGCTGGCCTTGGCAACCACTTACTTGGTGGCTGGGTCATCATAGGATGCCACGAACACCAGTGTGCCTTCATGCAGTGGCCGAATAAACTTCAGCAGATCGTTGACATCTGGGGGGACAGGTCCAATGGAACACAGAGCACCAGGCACCACTGATCACCCCTCCCCCACCAACCCCTGTGCACCAAACAAGGAAACTAAAGTAGGGATCAGGCCGGGGACACGTCCCACCAAGAGTTGCCAAGTGAGTGTAGGGACAAACTGGTATCAGAAATCAGGGCCATCCCCATGACCATACACCTATCCCTCTCCCGCCTTTTCCAAACCCAAGGAAGTGCTTGAGAAGCCCCCAGCGAATGGACAGAGAGAGCAGCATTTCAGGGGAAAGATGCCCAGTCATTCTGCTGCACAGTCATAAAGAGGAGGCCATGGCCGCCACTCACCTCCTGCCCACATGTCGAAGGCCCGGGCCTCGATGAGCTCACCGCTGACCCCTGGGTCGAGAGGGAAGGAGGGGGTCCTGCTGCACAAGCCACCAGGGTATCTCCACCCTACCACCTCGGCCCCCCCAGATCACCAGGTTCAGGACATGGTGGTGGCCACCGGGTGCAGACCTTCCGGAAGCTTTTCAAACATCCCCCCATATTCATGCCCACCGTGCCCCTTCTTCAGATAGTGGCAGCCCACCTAAAGCTGCGGAGCTTCTGCCTGGCATTTGACACCCTTCAGGGGCTCTCCATGAAGCACCCTCCAACTTCCAGGAAACTTCTAGTTTTTTACTGCTACCATGTTTTTGTTCATTGGGTCACTTCTGTGGAGCCTTCAGCTCACACAGACCCTTGCACAGACCCCTCCCCCAGGAATTCCCGGAAGGGAGGGGAGGGGAAGGCCAAGGCAAACAGCCAGATGCCTCCTCATGAGAGAGTGAGGAAGGAGGGTGGCAGGTCACGGCCAGCTCTGCTTCTCTGGTCCGAACTCTGACCACACATCATGGAGGACTCACCGTTCACCAGGGCAATGTTCAGTCCCCGGCCCACGTTGTCCTTGACACTGCTCATGAGCCTAGCAGGGAGACAGAGCCCTCAAGTGGCACCTCCGCTCTGCTCTTCCTTGCATGGCCCTCGGCCCTCGCAGACCCAGCTTTCAATACCCCATTCCCTCCCCCGCCTCCGTCCACCCCAAGGAGCTCACATCTTGTCCTCGAGGCAGATCTTGGGTCCAATGACATTGGCAGCCCCGCTGACCATGCGGAAGGCCAGGTGCTCCTCAGGACACGGCTGGGGCAGGCCGCACTTGTACTTCCTGGCCCGTGGCTCTGAGCGGGGACAGCAGGGGTGACCCATGGGCCTGGCCCTGAGGTTACCCGAGATCTGAGACAAGGAGGTCAGGACCAGCCCACAGGGAGGAATGAGTGAACACAGAGCAAAGGACTAGTGGCGGGGAGGGAACATGGCTCAGGCCAAGGCCAGGGACACTTCCACAGACACTCTGCATCCCGCTGGGGCTGCCCTCAGGGCAAGGTGACAGGGACCCCAGGGAGGCTTTTCTGCCACTGGTGGGAGAAGAGAAAAGAGGCGGGAGGGCTGGCTTGGGCTGTGGCGGGGAAAGAAGGAGCAATTGGGGGGGCAACCGCACAGACGAGCGCCTGGCCAGAGCAGACTGCAGGACAGCGGCGCCAAGAGCACCTGGTTCCCATGGCGCAGAGGCAGGAGGGCAGGAGGAGGATGGCCTCTGCTACAGGTTGAACTGTAACCCCACAAAAGATGTGTTGAAGTCCTAACTCCAAGTTCCTCCGAATGTGACTCTATTTGGAAATAGGGTCGTTGAAGATATAATTTGTTAGGATGAGATCATCCTGGAGTAGGGTGGGCCCTAAATGAAACAAGTCTCCTTATAAGAGACGGAAGAGGAGATCCAGACATGGAGGAGAAGGTCATGTGAAGACAGAGGCAGAGACTGGAGGGATGCAGCCACAAGCTGAGGAACACCTGGGGCCCCCAGAAGCTGGAAGAGGCAGGAAGGGTCCTCCCCTAGAGCCTGCAGAGGGAGCACAGCCCTGATGACACCCGGATTTCACACTTCTAGCTTCCAGAACTGTGAGAGAAGAAATCCTTGTTGTTTAAGTCACCCAGTTTGTGGTACTTAGTTACAGCTGCCCCAGGAAATTGATAGAGATTTTGATACCAGAAAGTAGGGTGCTGCTGTAACAAATCCCTAAAAATGTGGAAATAACTTTGGCATTGGGTAATGGGTAGAGGCTGTAGAATTTTGAGGTGCATGTCAGAAAAGGCCTAGATAGCCTTGAGGAGACCGTTGGTAGAAACATGGATGTTAAAGGTGATTCCGGTGAGGGCTCAGAAAGAAGAGAGAAGAACAGTAGAGAAAGCTTCTATCATTCTGCAGAACACATATATCATCATGACCAAAGGTTGCTAGAAATATAAATGTTAAAGGTGCTTCTGGTGAGATCTCAGACGGAAATGAGGAACACATCAGACACTGGAGGAAAGGAGGTCCTTGTTATAAAGTGGCAAAGAACTTGGCCGAATTGTGTTCTAGTGTTTTGTGGAAAGTAGAACTTGTAAATGCTGAACTTGGCTATTTAGCTGAGGAGATTTCCAAGCAAAGTGTCGAGGGCATGGCCTGGTTTCTCCTTGCTGCTCACAGTAAGATGTAAGAGGAGAGAGAAAAACTGAGAAAGGAATTATTAAGTGCAAAGGAACCAGAACATGAAGATTTGGAAAATTCTCAGCCTAGCCATATTGTAAAAAACGAGAAAGAATGCTCTGGAGAGAACAGGAAGGATGTGGCTGGACAACTATTTGCTAAAGAGCTGAGGCATGTGACTTATGGATCCACTTAACCATGTCAGCAGAATCCAGGAATAGAAATGGGGTTATCCAGGAAAGATCTGGAGGACCTTCTTGTCTTATAGCTTAGACCCTCATGAACTGCACAGGAGACCAACGTTTTTGAGAATTTTATACTAGCAGAAACACTGCCGGCCTGGACTGAAAGGGACAGAGAAAGGACAGAAGGAGGGATGGGTGACTCTGAGGGTAGAGTGGTGGCTGCAGAGGCCAGAGATGGCACAGGCCCAGAGGGTAGGACTGTCCCCTCCGGTCTGAAGGTACCCCCCACCCCCGGGGGGGCCAGAGGACAGAGCATCGGGTCACAGAGGATTCTTCTCAGGCCTTGAAACCTAATGGCATTTGCCCTGCTGGGTTTTGGACTTGCTTGGGAGTGGTGACCCCTTGATTCCTTCTAAGTTCTCCCTTTTGGAACGGGAATGTCTAATCCATGCCTGTCCCACCAGTGTATTCTGGAAGCAGGTAACTTGTTTTCTAGGTTCACAACATGCAAGCAGCTCTGTGGGGGCTGTGATGGCAAGTTTAGGGAGGGATGAACGGAGATTAGAAACCCTGGAGGACTAGGGGCAGGCAGCGGTATCACAAAAGTAGTATGAGGGGTGGACACAGGGGAGGAGCAGGAAGGTGACAGGAGCCTTACCTGCAGTCGCTGAGTTCTCTGGGCCTGTGGGTACAGAGAGTTGTTTCTGTTAGCCTGGAGTCCTCTGGGACCTGCAGCAGGGCAGCCTGGCCCTACACCATGAAGTCAAGGTGGAGGGGCAGTCAGGCTCAGGGGCCAGGGGCCAAGCCAGGTTGCCTTGGCATGTTCCTGCTTAAGTCTAAATGATGTTCAGATGCAAAGCTCCCTGCTCCAGGAAAAGGGTAATTCAGAATTGTAAAAAGGACTTAGGTGAAGCGTCACCAATAACAAGGTGTAGAGTCCCCTCCCTATGTCAGAGGCTGGTGGAAAGCCTGCAAGGAGCAACCAGAACATCATCCCCAACGTTCAGCAGAAGCCCCCCTGCCCCCGACTCGGGTCTCACTGACTCCAACCGGGCACAGAATTCTGATTAGCAGGGACTGGCTTTCCCAGCCAAAGCAACTGGGTTGTGGGGGAAGGCTGTGCTGGATGCCAGGAGACAGACTGAGGGCAGCTAGAGGTGGCCTTCCAGGAAGAGACAGAAAACCCAGGCCACCACCACCCCCACCCTGAGCCTCAGCCCGCAGGCCCGGGTGACCGCCCTGGTGATCTCCGTAGTGGGGCAAGGAAGAGTCCCACACTCACTGGTGAAGAGTTGCTGGATGCGAGGAAAGCCACTGCCGGGCCCACCCAGGAGGATGCTGACTACGATCCATGTGAGGCCCACGGTGACGACCAGGGCCACAATGCGGAGGGGGCCTGGAGGTAGGACAGACACAGGCAAGGCCACCTCAGATGCCAGTGAGCTCCCAAATGACCCTAGGACCAGACTGCCCTGTCCACTTGGGAAGAAGTGACTGGAGGACAGGAAAGTGGGTACCTGTCACCATCCACCAGATGGCCTGATAGGGGAGCTCCTAGCAGGTAGAAGGAGGAAACTGAGTTCTAACTCCAAGGCTCCTGGCTCTGTTCTCTGTGGCAGGTGTGGAGGGGCCTTCCAGAACTCACTGCTCAAGTGGGCTCCAGTGCTCCCCCTAATTTCCTGCCTCTGAGGTTACCAATATATTTGTGTCCCACCCATCCTGTCCTCTTTTTCTCCTGTTAAAACAGAGGAGGGGGTCCTTACTCCTTCTGAAGACCAGTACCTTCACCTGCTGTGGGGTAGACTGGCAGCTCTCCTCCCCTCTCAGGTTTCTTGTAATGGTGATCATTCTCTCTATCTCACCCTTTCTCCTCTCTTTTCAACATCTCCCATGGTAAGAAAGCACAGAAGGAAAAGCCCTCCTTCAGAATCACACCCTCATCCAGCCACTGACCTCTCTCCCCTCCCTTCCTCTTCCCTGTCAGCTCCCCCAAAGTCATCTATGCTGGCTCTTTCCATAGTCTCACCTCCCACTCTCTCCCAACCTACTCCAACCAGTCCTTGCCTCCACCACCCCACCAAAACAGCTTGTTGCCAAGGCCACCTATGACCTTCTTGGTGTCAACTCCCCGTGTCACCTGTCGGCCCTGATCTTCCTTGACCTCTCAGTTTGCTGCCCAGGCCCTCCTGCTGGAAACACTTCTGCACTGGCTTCCAGGACAGCACACCCTAACTCTAGCTGGACACTCCTCATCCTCCTTGCTTAGATCGTCCTCCTCTACCCTCCCCTGAAAAGCTGGACTTTCCCAGGCTTCTGTCTCAAGCTGCCTTCTCGGCCTATGCTCTACCCTCCCTCTAGGTGCTCTCATCTACTCCTGGCCTTGAATTAACCCCTATGGACAGCCCTGACCACCGTTGAGGCCACACCCTCCCAGCCAGTTCCTCAATGGCCAGCTCCCATGGGACAGATTCATAACGCTGCAACCTCAGCACGTCTGAACTCCAGTTCTTGAGTTCTGCTCTCCACTCCCAACCTGTCCCTCCCCAAGTCATCTTCATTTTAGTTGCCCAGGCAACAGCAGGGCTGACACTGGGTTCATACCCAACCCCATCACCACTCTGGTCAGTTTCTCCTCTAAGACTGTGCCTCTCCACCTCTGCACCCCACCCCCCTCTACTTAGCGGCCATGCTCCCTGGAGCCTCTCCCACTGTTCATTTTCCAAACAGTGGCCAGTTATCCAAGTTGGAAGAAATCAACTATCCTAATACACATCTCACAGCTTGTGGAGCTGAAAGGATTTAGTCAAGGTCATAGAATGAGTGTTTATGCAGAGTCCTCCATTTCTAAAACCAAACCCAGTGGTCCACCTGGGGCCCCTCTAGATGCAGACCTCTGGATACCTGGGCCTCCAGCCAGGTCCCCTTTCCAACTCCTTCCGTTCACTGTGGAAGCGACCCACCTGCCAACCTCATGTCCACTTCTGCTGGGTTGGGGCCGCCGCCTACTGCACTGTTTGGGGACCGTGCGCTCTGGGGGCAACAAAACAGAAGAGAAGATTTGGGTAGGGGTCAAGGATGAGCCTGTGCTGGGCCTCTGCTGTAGAGCGGGTGCAATCGGTACACTGACTTGTTCGTCCAACCACCTGGCCAGGTTCGTCGGGAACGCGGAGAGAAGCCCTGCCAGGCTAGGAGGGAGCTCGGGAACCCGTCGGCTCACGATCGTGCCCACGGGAGCCTCTGGGGCTGGGAAGTGGAAGTGGTTCTCCCGGACGCGGCCCCTCCGGTGGGAAGCCCCGAGCTCGGGCCGCCTCTCTGGGCCTGGGGGCCAGCGATGCGGGCTGCGTCAGCCGGAGACTTGCCTGGCGGGGGGGAGATGCGAGCTCGGTCGAGGGCAGCTCTGTCAGGCCGGTCGCCCCGCTCTGCTCGGCGACGGCACGAGAAGGAGCTGCGCAGCGCGGCCCAACAGGCCTGGCAATGGCGGCCTGGGGCGGGGCCACAGCCCGCCAGCGCCACCCGGGCCATCGGCTAGGGCTGAGCCTCCCGGCAGCCGGGTAGGAGGGGCCCGCACCGGCCCCGCCTCTGACGTGCGCTCAGGTTGAGTAGCCAGGCCGCCAAACGGGAGGAGCCCTATCCGGCCCCGCCCCTGCTCCTACGTATGCCCCGCCCCAGAAGTCTCTCCTCAGACTCCTCCCAGGTGGGAGATTCCAGCCTTCCTGGGCTTCCAGGGCTGGGGCTACACTCCTGCCCTGTAGTCAGATTTCTGAAGCCTGGGAAGAGTCGGATGGATCTGGGCGCGTAATTGGAAATTGTTTTAAAGTTGATATATGTGCCTTTTGGAAACATGGCAGTACACAAGAGTACGCGGTGGGAAGACACCAGAATGCGATGAGCCAGAGACAACCAGGCTCAGCCTTTTGACGCCTTTCCTCGCAGTCCGTTCTCTAGATGGAAGCACGTTCGCGCCGTCTCACATATCGCTCTGATAAGGGGAAGGGGCGTCTAAAACGTTATTTAGACCCATTGGAAAACTCCTGCCTGCTCCTCTAGCCTTCTTCAGGAACGCGTCCCTGACACCGCCCAGTGCACCCTGATCACCTCCTGCACTGGGAGAGCTGGTGACACTCCTTTCGGCTGGACCATCTTTCTGGAGGGCAGCCGCTGGGCGGCATGAGAACCGCAGAAACATTCATGCCCTTTGACCCAATGACGCCACTTCCCGGAACCTTCCTAAAGAAAGAATCCAAAATACAGAGAAAGCTTATAGAGCCAGGCAATGACAGAGCTCTGGTTAGAATCCAGTAGCTTCTACACCGGCATACACAACACTCCCTCCTTCTCCCTAGCAAGATCAAGGTAATCAGTTTCAGGGCTCCGCTGCTGCAGTCAAGTGTTAGTTTGGGTTTTGTCATGGAATTTGGGATCAGATAATGTTGACCATTTGCCAAACTCTCATATTTGTGGGTACCAAACCTTGGGCACCGTGCCATCCTCACTGGTCTTTCCTGCAATGCTTGTAGTTGTGGTGCCCAGCAAAGGAAGCTCCCAGTTATACTCTTGGGCTGTCAGTCAGGCACAGGGCATCTGCCAGACTGGTAGTTCATAGAGGACAGTGTTTACATCTTGCTCAGAGCAGTCATTTGGGAAATGTTGGTTTAATAAGCTCCCCTGAGGGTTCAGAGGCACATCCATCATCCCCAGGGACACCATCGAATGATGGGTCAGAGGCCTGGGATTCAGTTTCAGGTCTTCTGTTCCTCATGGGCAGCCTTGTGCAAATCCCTTATTTTCTCTGGGACTGTTTTTCAATGGGGACATAGAGAGGATTAGACCTTCGTATCATAAGCCCTCATGTCCCTGCCCCAGTGCAGGCACCTAGCTAGAGTGAGGTGGCAGAGAATGTCTCCTATGGGCCCTCTGGCCTGTGTCCCAGTGAAGCTCCCATATCTGAGGTGCCTGTTAACTGTTTTTTTCTTGGGTCCTCATGTCCCTGCTTCAGGACAGGCACCCAGAGCTGAGGTGACAGTTGATGCCCTCAACAGATCCCTCATTCCCCTCAGTGTAGACCTACACCAAGCACTGAGGTGATGGTTGGTGGTAATCATACAGGCCTGCATGCTTATGTCCCAGTGTGAGCACCTCCTGCCTCTACCCCAGAGGAGGCACCCAGAGCTGAGTGGACAATTGACTCCCTCCACCTAGTCCTTCATGTCTCTGCCTACGTTTAATGACCCAGAGCTGAAGTGACAGTTGAATGACCTCAATGGTCCCTCATTCTCTTTTCCAGTGTAGGCACCAAGATGTGTGCTTTCAGTTGACTGTCTGTACCTGGGCCCTCATGTTCCTGCCCCAGTGCAGGCACCCAGCATGAAGTGATAGCTGATGGTCCCCAACTGGGCCCTCATGTCTCTACCTAGTCCCTCACTCTCCTTTCTAGTGTACAGATCAAGATGTGGGCTTTCAGTTGCATGCTGTCACCTGGGCCCTCATGTCTCTGACTTGTGTAGCTACACAGAGCTAAGGTGGCATTTGAGTTCCCTCTGCTGGGCCTCATATCTCTGCCCCAGAGTAGGTCCCATTGCTCAAGTGCTACTTGTGTATTGTGTCTCGGGTCCTCATGATCTGCCTCAGGGTAGGCACTCAGATCTGAGGTAACAGTTGAATGCCCTCACTGTCCTTCATGCCTCTCCCCGAGGTTAGGCACTGAGAGCTGAGGTCAAAGGTGATGCTCCACTCCTGGGCCCTTAAGCCTCGCCTTAGTCCAGGCATCCAAAAGTTAAATGTTTGCTGAATGCTGAAACCCAGACCCAATGCCTCTACCCCAGTGTAGGCACACAGGGCTGAGGGGATTGGTGGCTGTCCTCACATGGGCCCTCCTGCTCTGTGCCACTGTAGAGATTCAGTGCCAGTTGAAGGCCCTTATACCTCAGCACCAATGTCGCCACTCAGAGCCGAGGTGACAGGTGTCTTTCCTCACCTGGGACTTGTTGCATCTGCCCTAGTGTAAACATACAGGTGACAGATGTCTCTCCTCACTGGGTCTGTCATCGCTGTTCCCCATTGTAGGGGCCCAGAACTGAGGTGACATTTGTCTCAAATCATGGAGGCTCTAAGGTCTGTGTCAGAACATATTCACCCCGAGATGAGGTGACTGTCTCACAAATGACTGTCCTCATCTTGTCCCTCATGCTCGTGCCTCACTGTAGGCACCCAGAGCAGAGGGGACAGCTGAATGTTCTTACCTGGGACCTTGGCCTCTTCCTAAGTGCAGGCTCCTAGAGCTGAGATGACAGTTGACTGTCCTCATCAGGGCCCCCGTCTCTTTGTCCCTCACAGGCACCCAGAGATGTGTTCTCACCAGGGCCCTCACAGCTATGCCCCACTGTAGCACCCAGATCTGAGGTGTCAGCTGACTGCCCTCACCTGGGCCCTCATGCCTATCGCAGTGGAGACATTCAGCAGGATTAGATGGGGAGCTCCCCACTCCCTCCCTGCTCACACGTAGTCATCACGTGCTGGGGGCCAGGGAGGAGGAGGGTCCCTCCTCCACCTTGAGCTCCCACTGCTGCCCCTACCTGAATCCTCCCAGACTTCCTGGAGCGGCCCCTTCAGAGATGCTATGCCAGCAGGTTACCCAGGGGACCTGGGGACCCGGGATGACTATCCCCCAGCACACAGCTCTGCTACGTGCCCCAAAGTCTATAAACATCTGTAGGGTTCTGAGCACGAAGACCTCTGCGCAGTCAGGAAAGGCCCCTGTGCCTTTGTTTATTTGGTTTTTCCCCTGAGGATTTGATGTCATCTGCAGGGCCGTATTTTGGGTTTTGAGGTTCCAGGCCAGTAGGCCAAGGCAGTTGGGGACTTGAATGTTTCTTCCCTGGCATCAGGCAGGAGGACGGGATCCTCTGGTGGTAAGCAGGGGCGGCTGCATCTTCAGGGACCCACTCTCCTTCGTTCTGGGCCACTGTCTGGGGCCCATCGCTCTTGCCTCATCAGCCCATCGCATTCGTGTGGCTACATTTCAGAGAGTCAAAGGCAAGACTGGAGCCACGCTGGAGCCAAAAGGAGCAAGAAAGAGGACCAAGGCCGCTGCCCCCCTGGCCAAAGGCTCCCCCCAATCCTGTGCACATGGAGCCTCCTTGGCTGCTCTGCGTGGACCTGGGCTAGAAGCCACCCCGAGGTGCAGATCCCAGCTGAGTAAAGCCACCTCTTAAGTGTCTGTAACCTGTCCCTATCCCACAAAGCTTCGTCCTTCCCTATTCAGCTGGGTCCAGGTGGACTTGGTAGTCTCCCTCCTCCCACACCCCCCTGGTCACAGGAGACAGGGAGAGTGGGAATGGTGCCCCGGCATGCAGTTTGTGGTGGGATACACACACATGCACCATCCTAGCTTATGGGAGGGGAACAGGCCAGCCCACCATTTGAGTTTCTGCTTTGTCTATGTATTGCTCTTGCAGTCCCTGGCGGGAGCCTCGGCTCACCCTCCAGACCCGGCACTCCATCCGTCAAGCTGCATCTCTGTCTTTCTCATCCTAACTGGCCCCAAACTGTTGCCATCCTGGCCCAGGGGCACCATGCAGGAGGAACAGCTGGATCTCAATGGCATGCCAAGGAGAGGCTCGGATAGTTGGAGCACCAAGCCCTGGGCAATCACCCTCCCAAGCAGGGGTGTAGGACAGAAGGGCCCCAGCTGAGCTGGAGGGAGGAGTCATGGTGGCCAAGCTCTTGCTAACAGCCTGAGGGCCTGGCCTTGTTGCTGCAGGCCTTCCCCAGCATGGAACACGAAGCCCTGCCAGCTGCAGGGGCCCAGTGTGTGTCCTCACCTCCCCAGGAGTGGAGCCTTCCTCCCCTGGTCATTTGATGGACTGCTGGTTTGTTCCCTCCATAAAACGTATCACCACGTGTTCATCTTGTGCCCAGTTGGCTACACGAGAACCCAGGCCATGAGTGCAGGGACCATAGTTCTGCCATCTCCCCGGCACTCAGCTGAGAGCAGAGCTGGGGAGGGCAGGACAGATGCTCAGGATGTGCTGCCTTTGGTGGGAGTGTACCGGATTGAACAGTGTCCCCCCAAATCTGTGTCCACCTGGAACCTCAGAAAGTGGCCTTATTTGGAAATAGGGTGTTTGTAGAGGTAATCAAGCTAAGTTAGGTTGAGGTCACACTGGAGTAGAGTGGGCCCCTAATCCAGTATGACTGGTGTCCTTACAAGAAGAGAAAACAGAGGGAGACAGACCCACACAGGGAGAAGGCCTCGTGAAGACAGAGACTGGAGTGAC